TGAGGAAATGCAAGACTGCAAGAGGTTATCGATAGCTAACGACAGTCTAAGGCAAGAAAGGCTTAAGAAGCATACAGTGACTTCTCAACTGCCATAATGAGCAGTGTCACGTTAACTAACGTATTTTCTTTCGTCCCACCTGTGGTGGGTCTCCTGTGGGCCATTAAAGAGTTGGTCTATGTTCGCAGCATCAAGCTGGCCGGTCCCTACAAGGGAAAGTCTGGCATGCAAGACTCTCTTGTTGCTGGTGATGCCCGTGATGTTCAGAAGATCCTCCTCGCCATGCGTGAGATCTCTTCCAACATCGCTGAGGGTGCAAACGCATTCCTCATTGCCGAGTACAAGTACATGATGGTCTACGTTCTCGTCTTTTCCGTTATCATCTGGCCCTGCATCGGTTTCGGCACTATGTTGTCATTCGTTGTGGGTTCCATTACCTCTATCGCTTGCGGGTACATCGGAATGAAGACCGCTGTATACTGCAACGTCCGTACTGCTCATGAGTGCTGGAAGAACCTCTCTGATGGTTACGATGTTGCACTTCGCGGCGGCTCCGTCATGGGTTTCGCTCTCGTGTCTTTGGCTGTTCTCAACTTGGCTATTCTCGTTACCATCTATAACGTTCCTTCTTTCTATAACGGTGATCTTCGTGCTCTTTACGAGGCTCTTACCGGTTATGGTTTGGGTGGTTCCTCTATTGCTCTCTTTGGTCGTGTTGGTGGTGGTATTTACACCAAGGCTGCCGATGTTGGTGCCGATCTTTCTGGTAAGAATGAGTACGGCCTCGATGAGGATGATCCGAGGAACCCCGGCTGTATCGCCGATAACGTTGGAGATAACGTTGGTGATATCGCCGGTATGGGCGCTGATTTGTTCGGTTCTTTCGCCGAGTCTACTTGTGCTGCCATGGTCATCTGCTCTGCTGCCCCCGATGCTCTCGTGTCTGGTGAGTGGTCCACCATGTTGTTCCCCTTGATGGTATCTTCTGTTGGTATCCTTGTTGGTCTCGTCACCATGCTCACTGTCAACATCTTCTACAAGGTTAAGGAGATCCCTGACATCGAGAAGGCCCTTAAGGGTGTCCTTGTCATCTCCACCTTGTTGCAGACACCTACCGTCATTGCCCTTTCCTGGTGGGCTCTTCCAGCTGGCTACTTCGCCATTGACGAGGCTCATCCGGCTTGCTCTTGGATTAAGTGCGCTGTGTGCATTCTCCTTGGTCTTTGGTCTGGTCTCTGCATTGGCTACACCACTGAGTATTACACTTCTCAGACCTACAAACCAGTCCGTGAGATCGCCGAGTCCGAGGGTATCTCTGCTGCTACTGGTATCATCTACGGTCTTGCCGCTGGTTACGTTTCGTGCATCGTTCCCGTAATCTGCCTGGCTATCACTATCTGCGTCGCTCACTCCGTCGCTGGTATGTTTGGTGTCGCTCTTGGTGCCCTCGGTATGCTCGGGACTCTCACCATGTCCCTCACCATTGATGCTTATGGTCCCATCTCTGATAATGCCGGTGGCATCGCCGAGATGTCCGAGTTGGGCCCTGAAGTCAGGGAGCTCACTGATGCTCTTGATGCTGCTGGTAACACTACTGCTGCCATCGGTAAGGGCTTCGCTATCGGCTCTGCCGCTCTTGTGTCCCTCGCCTTGTTCGGCGCTTACACTGTTCGTGCTGAAATCTCCAAGGTCAACATCCTTGACCCTTGGACTTTCACTGGTCTCCTCTTCGGTGCTATGATGCCTTATGCTTTCTCTGCTATGACTATGAAGTCTGTTGGTAAGGCAGCCAACCAGATGGTCGAGGAGTGCATGTCGCAGTTCCCCAAGATCATCTCTGGTGAGATGAAGCCCAACTACACTAAGTGCATCAAGATTGCCACTGATGCCTCTCTTATGGAGATGATTGCTCCTGGTTGCTTGGTCATCCTCTCTCCCCTCGTCGCTGGTCTTATCTTCGGTAAGAACTGCACTGCCGGGCTCCTGTGCGGTGCTCTCGTCTCTGGCGTCCAGATGGCCATTTCCATGTCCAACACTGGTGGCGCTTGGGATAACGCCAAGAAGTACATCGAATCTGGTGGTCTCGGTCCCGAGTGCGGCAAGGGCTCTCAGGCTCATAAGAACGCTGTCACTGGTGATACCGTCGGTGACCCGCTTAAGGATACCTCCGGTCCCGCCATCAACATCGTTATCAAGCTCTCTGCCATCATGTCTCTCGTTTTCGGTGGCGTTATCGCCAAGACCTCCAACGAGAATGGTGGTCCTTTCTGGTTGTAAGCCTATTCGTATGCATAGATTACATTCACTTACTCGCTGTTCCTAAGTTAGTAATGCTAGTTTCTTTCCGGTGTGTGTTCGGATAGGTAACCGTACACTTTCTCCCCGTGACTTTGTCGAGTGTTGAGTTCATGGTAGTCATGGCTGTTGGTCCGCGAAATAGCAGCACGCTACTGCAGCTGAGTACAATTGAACGGTTGTGTAGAGTGGTTTTCCTATTTCGTTTGACCCTTTGGAATGGAAGGACAATGGGAATGAGGGTTAGATCGTGGCACGTGGTATTCGAAAATAAAAGAAAACAATACGCCATTTTTGGTTATATTGGTGATAAACAACCAATAAAGCAATTTGCCATGCTGATTGATAACGCAATTATGCTCGGTACACACTTCTGGTAAGTATATCTATGCGGTTACGTTGTAAGAAAGCAAACTTTGTGAGACGAGTTTTGCCGTAGACAACTTCGAGATCATGGAGAGGTTGGCCAACTTCTGTACATGCGGAAGGATCATCACACGCTCGACTGATCACAACCGAGATGTACGATAGCAGCTCTTATCTGAGGTCATCAAAGCACTCATATAATATCAATGGACAACAGTCAGAGAGGTCAGCGACGCTAACAAAGCTTTTGTGGTGTGTAGCTGCGCAGCCCAAGATACAAATTGGGTGATGGAAACGATACTGTACCTTCATCGATTGTGATCGTTGTGCAAATGGCGAGTGTACTTGCGACCAATTTGCTTGTTTTTATTCCACCTATTCTTGGAGTCCTCTGGGCCTTCAAGGAGGTAACCCATGTTAGCCTTATCAAGTTGACTGGTCCTCCTTCCGGTATCCAAGCTTCTTTGATGGGCAATGGACAGAAGGTTGATGTCCCGAAGATCCTAGAACGCATGAGAGACATTTCGTCGCATATTGCGGAAGGTGCCAATGCGTTCCTAATTTCCGAGTATAAGTATATGCTTGTCTACGTTGTTGTCTTCTCGATCATCATCGGACCTAGCATCGGTCTCGGTACCATGATCGCTTTCATAGTGGGCTCTCTCACCTCTATAGCGTGTGGTTACATCGGTATGAGGACGGCTGTGTACTGCAACGTTCGCACTTCTCACGAATCTTGGAAGAACATTTCCGCTGGTTACGATGTTGCTATTCGTGGTGGCTCTGTCATGGGATTTGCCCTCGTCTCCTTGGGTGTTTTCAACCTTTTCATTTTGGCTCTGATATACTCCAAGTTCTATGGCGATGACGTCAACGGTCTTTACGAGGCTCTTACCGGTTATGGTTTGGGTGGTTCCTCTATTGCTCTCTTTGGTCGTGTTGGTGGTGGTATTTACACCAAGGCTGCCGATGTTGGTGCCGATCTTTCTGGTAAGAATGAGTACGGCCTCGATGAGGATGATCCGAGGAACCCCGGCTGTATCGCCGATAACGTTGGAGATAACGTTGGTGATATCGCCGGTATGGGCGCTGATTTGTTCGGTTCTTTCGCCGAGTCTACTTGTGCTGCCATGGTCATCTGCTCTGCTGCCCCTGAGGTGGCCGTCCACGGAAGTTGGTCATCAATGATGTTCCCTCTGCTTCTCTCGTCTGCCGGTATAATCGTTGGTATTGTGACTATGATGTGCGTTGATGCCTTTTACAAAGTTCAGAGATAAAGGATGTTGAGAGAGCTCTGAAGGTATCTCATCATATCTACCTCTATTCAACCCTATGGTATCTCCTTGCCTGGTGGGCACTTCCCAGTGGTCTTTT